ATAGGTACATTTTTACTATTTATGACAGAAGTTTGAAAATGCAATGCAAGATTCCAAAAATATTATATTACATTGTCATAACTAACGCTTGAAAATGTAATGWAGATTCTAAAAAAACTCATATGATATTAATCTCTTGGTACTTAATTAAATATAAAAATGTAAAAACTCAATTCTATTAAATAGGGTTTTGAAGTTCAAATTTTGAAAAAATTAGATATTTACACAAAGAATAATGATTTTTGTTATTTTTTTGTAATTCAAATATTATATTATTTGAGGGAACTTGAAACTTTTTTTTCCCATATTATTATATTTTACTATTCACGAAATATACAATAATTTATTATTAATACTTTTTTAAACTTGTAATGACCAAGTTTTAACCCAGAATTTTAAAAAAATTATACTTAAATTAATTAATGTGATCAGTGTTTTAAAWAAATTATGCTAAATGTTTACTTGGCATAAGCTTTCTCCAACAGAGCACTCCAGAATTCATTTTTGGTTGATGATTTAACAAATAATAACTCTCCTTTATGAGTCGGTAGACGATCGTCGACAACCACGTCAACCCATTTGCCATACTGCCAAAATCTAATCAATTTTTAAAAGTCAAATTAACACATGGATTTCTAGAGCTTGACATATATTTACTTAAAATGGAATATTCCAGCGTAATTAATATGGAATCCTTGATCAAAAGGCACTACTTTGTAAAAAAGTTTGTCATCCAAAGTCAAATTTGCTATGGCAGATACTAACCAACAATCACCTTCCAGAATAAAAAAGTTTATGTTAATATTAGTTATGAGTGTTGTGACTTATGTTTAATGATAATAATACCTATTTATAGATATTATTCATAAGTTTTTAATATTACCTTTAATGATATAAATGGATTTAAAATATTTCGTATCAAAACCAATACTTACAAATAGTTTAAAAAATATATTATTCCTGTTATTTACCTAAACGTCCTTGCCTTACATCAAATCTTGAAGCCCCTTGCACGAAAAATTTGGGATCATTTGTAATTTCCTAATAATTGCATTTTTAATATTATTATTGTGTTTATTTCAAAGAATTATTAGCCTCATACAAAGCATGATCGTAGGAAGGCCCATAATTTAAGTACACAACTTAACATTACAATTTTAATAGAATGTACCTATGTAAAATATAATATGCTCACCTTTGGTCTTCGCCACTCAAGCTGATTTTTTTGAAGATTTTGTACAGATAAATCGTATGTATCAAATTCTGGATCTTTGAATAGTATTTTTTGTTTTARGCATTGGAGTCGRAGCTCATCAAAATTTTGAACAAATTCAACTGGTCTTTGTCGAACACCGGAACCCCGTTCGCCAATATTAAACATTTTACTGAAGAATTAAATATATTTTATGAACAAATGTACATTAAAAATCAATTGATGTATATACCTAGACGTACTAAACTAGACTGTTTCACACAAACGTGCCACAATCAAATTATTTAAAATACATTAAATATATCATAATTGTTGTGTTTATAATAATAACAATATAATTTAGTTTGAATTTAAAGGTCAATGTTTCTTAGATGAATCTTATATTGATAACATTATAATATTTAAACTATACACAGTCATTGTACCTACTTTATACTATATACCTAAGATAATATTAATATTGTCAATTCGTTAGAATCGTATTATATCTCAATTATATTCTACATTTCATATTATTCGTGAACTGTACTTTAAGTATAATTATTAATCAATATCATTAAAATTGCTTCATGGTATAATACATTAATACAAATAATTACTAGWGCTTACTATTACAATGAACCTATTGCTTAACTATATTCTAATAACTGACATTGTCAGGAGTTAGCAAAGTATGCGCAATTTGATAGTGAGGGGAGGGGTAGAGAGGCTTAACCGTCCAATATTAAAATTAGCCTCTACAAACATTTTTATTTTAATAGAAGTATTAAACCTTCATTAGTTATCTAACCTAAATAATTTATTAAACGTAATTTGAGGAAATTATTTTCTGAAGTTTAAACAGCGATTCATTATTTGGGTTTTTCATAGTACCTAGATATCGGATCCACCCACAAAATATTATATACGACGTTTAATAGTAGTGTAACAAATTAGTAATTACATGATACCTA